AATACTTTCCTGTGGATTTTAAGAGAGTTCCGAATGTGTTATCGAAAGGAACTGTTCGTCTATTTTTAAGGATATCATCGAAAAACAACACTTTTAAATAGGGTTTCTGGGACCAATATTCGGAAATTGTTAATTATATTTTCAAATTATACAAGCAATACTATATGATTTAAGAATATTTTTGAATGATATTTCCAAAAAATTTTAAAATCAAATGTTGTGGATTTTTTAAAATGTTTAGAGGAAAAGGATATTTTTTATTTTTATTTATTTATTTATTTATTTATTTATTTTTTTTTTTTTTTTTTGAAAAGATCGAATTTCGGTGCTTGTAGAGTTTTACATATATTTTCGAAAAAAATATATTTGGTGAAGAATATTATCCTAAAATTTAAAGATCAAAATTAATAGTGTTTTAATGATACTTTTGAGATTTTATATACTTTATAAATCATATTTTCGAGAAGTAATGGAAACAAAATTCCTTTATTTTGAGTAAACTTTGTTGATGATATACATGGAATATTCGTGGGGTTTTAAGAATATTTTCCAGATAAGAATGTTTTTGATGGACATTGTCGGAAAGTTATGAGAGCAATACTAGTGGATTATTAAATTACACCATTACTCTCGAAGGGAGTATCCGAACGAATTTGAACCAAACTTGGTACATTGTAATATTTTTGTTAAACTTAGATGGAACTCGGAGATGGGCAATGTCGGTGCAACCCTTCGGGTACCTCCCCCATAAAAGATCAAAATGTTCTTAGAAAATATTTCACCGTATAGATCTAGAAAGGATCATGCAATTTTATGCTAACGTTGCAAATCCAAATATTTGTATCAGTGCTATGTCAGGTACGAAAATGGCCAATATCGTACCACAACATCATGTACCTCCCCCACAAAGGGTCAAAATTTTCAAATAAAGAAAAAATATTTTACTGCACAGAAAGAAAAAAAAAATCGGACCATTTCTAATGGTAGCTCCCCTACAAAGGATCAAAGTTTTGAATAAAACGATCATAAAATCCGAAATAAACATCCGCTCCCTTTTTCACATATATAAAGCTCATAAAATGCGTAATTAATATATTTCTTCTTTCAACACACGCGTAAAACTGGATATATATGTTTGATTTTCTTGTAAATTTTTTCCATAATAAAATAATTCCGTCGATATTTAAACATTTTTTTAAATTATCGTATATCTCGTATAAAGTGAAGTAAGTAAATAATATGGTCCAAACTTGGCACTTCGCAATATTTATAACATATTTATTTAGGTCCGATAGGGTCCATTCCTTCGGAACCCACTCCATAGTTGACAATTTGAATAATCATAACAATCATAGCTAATACGAATGATGCTTTTTACCTTTTTCAGGATACTTTTGGGAAATGATAGATTAAATACACGTGCACCGAAGTTATGCAACCAAGAACAAATACTCCTACATTTTTGAGAATATTATGTACAAGTTAATAAAGCAATTCTCTCGATTTTTGTGAAACTTATCAAAAATTTTCATTATCAAGGCTGGTATTAATCCTCCTATTTAAAGGATATTTTTAAAAAATTAATGAGACTATACTTGTGCTTTCTACAATATTTTTAATATGTTATAAAATCGCTACTCCTGGATTTTTAGGATATTTTCGAAAAATTGATTTTTAATGGGAATTTTTGAAAAAAATATACAAGCAACACTTGTGAGTATTAATGGTATTTTCGTATTTTCCAGGATTTAAAGGAAGCAATACACTCCGATTTTTTATGATATATTCAAAGATAAATATATATTTCTTCAAAATGCACATTAAAATATAATTTTACCAACCTACTCCAATTGCCTGTTATAGCGCACCATTCTGTCATTCTGTCTTTTTAATTCTTTAAAAACAACAACACACGCAATTGTTGTTATTAATTATTATTTAAAAAAATCCCAAATGAATGAGTGAACATCAAGTATGTAGATTATAGAAAAAAATCATTGCTCGCAGAAACTTGAGAAAAGAATAAAGTATTATAAGTAATGTGAAATCACGCGTCGAAAAATTCCATATAATTGAGCTCGAAAACTTAATTGTCAGTGAAACAATTTGCACAATTCACCTTAAAGATAATCCTTTATAATTGATGGCATAATCCGCTTTTCAACCTAGAAAATAAATATTCATAAAAAAAATCTTTAAAAGAATTTCGTACAATCAAATGTAAATACATACTTGCGTATACTAAGCCGCACATATGCTTCTGTGTTGTTATATTCAAGCTAATGTAATTAGCAACACAATTTACATGATACAATGTAATAAAACAAACACATTTTGCATAGCTAATTAGATTTAAATAATTCTGAGAAATAAACAATTTAGAAACATAAATAAATGCTAATAGAAAATAAATGGAAAATAATTAGCTGCGTAGAGCTAAATATGTACTTTTTAGTTCTGGAAAAAAATCATGTAAGCGCCGACCACCAAATATCTGTTTTTAACGTGATAAACAAAACAAAAAGTATGTCATGAGAATTGTATTAAATATTTTTTTCTCATTCAATAAAATCTTGAGTCACCATTGAGAACGCTAAATAAAATAAGTGTGGAACAATCAAAATTCGGGCCCTACACCACTATGCATATTTAGTAGAGCTCCCGCAAAAGAATTTACTTGAAGTAGATCATACCACCTATCAACATTTGGTTTTAGAGCACATAAAGTTAGGTTTCAGAGAGAATTTTCACTAAATATAAGGGAGACATATTAATCTTTTATATCAAATAACATTGCTATAGAGTGCATGATATCACATTGAGCAGGATTATACTGAAGCAAGTTAAAAAGCAGTAAGTTCGGCCGGGCCGAACTTTGAATACCCTCCACCATTTGGAACGAATTTGGAAATTTTCAAAAATTAAAATCCTTAAAAAATTCTGTTAAAAATTTTAAAATACCGAATATAGCCGTTACATTGGGGTCTATACGACGAGGACCTACATAGTCATTGTTTGCCATAAGCCATTACCACATTCAATTTCGAAACATGAAATTAATTGTGAATAATGTAGCTAAAATCATCAAAATATCGTATATAGGGAGGTACCGTTATATCGGAGCTGTGCGATGACCTGGACCAGCATCGACAATTTTCTGTCACAGGCTATAGCATCCATTACGAACGTCAAATACGACATCTCAAACAATTTCGGTCGGCATTGTACCTAAACTCGTCAAAATACCGAATATAGGGATGTACTGATTTATGGGGCCTGTACGAAGACGTGGACCTGCATAGGAAATTTTCTGTCACAGACTGTAGTTCCCATTACTAACTCTAAATACGTAATTTGAAACAATTCCGTTAAATAATGCTAAAATCATCAAAATAACAAATTTTGAGAGGTACCGTTATATGGGGGCTATACGAAGACGTGGACCTGTACAGACAATTTTCTGTCATAGTATCCATAACGAACTTCAAATACCAAATTTGAAACAATTCCGGTGAATAATGACCCTAAAGTCACCAAAATACCGAATATCGGGAGGTACCGTTATATGGGGGCTATACGAAGACGTGGACCTACATGGCCCATTAACGAACTTAACCCGCCTACTGGAAAAATAAACAGTGGCAAGGGTTTTATGCCTTTGTACATTTGTTTGTAACATGGAAAAGGAAGCGAAATAGACCCATATATTTCGCTTCCTTTTCCATGTTACAAACAGATGCACAAAGGCATAAAACCCTTGCCACTATGTGGTGTAGGGAATAAAAAGGTAGCATTTAAAGTTTCAGGGGCCTTAAGGTCATTGTACGAGCGCTAAGTAAAAATGAGTACCTATTTCGAAGTTTTTGGAACAGGAGAAAAAACACTCAATTAGGACTCCCATAAATGCTGTCAATTCCTTCCTAAACTTGGGTGGCACAGCTGTTTTTTAACCGTTATAAACTTTAGTTGTTATATCATCAAAATAGGAATAGAGATTGTTGATGAATTTAAGGTCAAGTTATTTTTTTATATCCTCAACCGTAGTATGGAGGTTACATTAAGTTTGTCATTCATATAACACCTCGAAATATAAATTTTTGGCTCCACATGTATAAATATTCTTGATCAGCATTTAAATTCTATTTCGATTTAGCAATGTCCTCCCGTCTGTCTGCCCGTCTGTCCGTCCGCCGTTCGTCCATCCGTCAGTCCGTTCGTTCGTGCTTCTATGTAATTCACTTTAGCTTCCAAACGAATTGAAGTACGTTGATAAAACTTTTGTCTGCAGGACTTTTGGTATGGAAAATGGGCTATATAGGTCGACGTTTAGGTATAGACCCCATATAACTGTACATCCCTATATTCGGTATTTTGATGATTTTAGCGACATTATGTACAGGAATTCTTTCGAATTTCATATCTGAAGTCCCTAGTAGGTACTTCAGCCTGTGACAGAAAATTGCCCATGCATGTCCAGGTCTCCCTATATCGGTACCTCCCTATACTCGGTATTTTGATGATTTTGGCGACATTTTTCACCAGAATAGTTTAAATTTTCGTATTTGCACTTAGTAGTGGGTACTGCAGCCTGCGACATAAAATTGCCTATGCAGGTTCATGTCTTCGTATAGCCCCCTATCGGTAAGTCCCTATATTCGGTATTTTGATGATTTTGGCTACATTATACACATGAATGGTTTCAAATTTCGTATTTACACTTCGTAAGTTTACATTTTTGCTGCTACCCTAAAAGAAGTTGAATTACTAAATATATAGCAAAATCGATTGGAATACCTCCCACGATATGTTTCATGGCAAATTATGAGATTATATTTTACCCACTTTGATGTCGCAAACTATCCGGCAATATATGTTTCATTACCCACACCATATTGACGCAAAAAGAATATAATTATATTTAATAATTTATTTAATATTTACTCAAAACAAATAAAAAAATATCCTGTTCTATACGGCATTTTTTCAGAATTTGTTGATACTTTGAAAATACAGGATCTATAGATTTAAGTGAGCGCAATGTTAGCAGCGGAAGCCAGTCACTGGTCAACTGTTATAAATATTATATGTGAGTGAATAAGAAATAAATATTAAAGAAATGGAAAATAAAACAAAAAAGTAAGCAAAGGCTATAGTCGTGCGGGGCCGTCCATGTGATAACCTACAAAAGTACAATATGTTCGAAGTTTCCTTATATCCAAATCCATTTTGGAAGATTTCGTTTTTGAAATAATGTCAAAGAGTCATGCCCAGAGGCAGAGAGGTTACCCTTAGTTTTTTGACCCGGAGAATTTGGCCAATATTTACGCACTCCGTAGTGTTGTTAAGTATTCAAGTTGTGGACCATTTTACAGCTAAATATAATCCAATGGTCATCCAAAATGCTAGACTTCTTCCCTGCCTTAACTCTCTTCTTCCCTGCCTTAACTCTCTCCCTATCGATTAGTTTTCAGTTGTGGCCTATAGAGCGACTACAAAATTAGAAAAAATTAATTTTTTTAGTCCATTTGCACCTCTAAATGTATATCTTAAGAACAATAGGCCTTAATTCTGACCCTAACCCTGTCCCTAAAATTTCGTGAGGATCGGACGATAATTGCGAACTGCATATAATACCCTCAAAACGTAGTGTTTGGAGGTGTAAACATTTAGAAAATGTACAATTCGAAATTGTAAGTCAAATTGAAAAAATCGCATACGATGGAAAATATGACAAAATTTGAAGAAAATCGACAAAAGATATTCACATTTTTGTTGGTATAGTTTTCCGCGATTTTCTTAGATTTTTTCATTTTTTGACAAGAGACCATTCCGAATTGATGGGAATTGTGAAAATCGGCCAAGCTGTTCTTGATTTACAAGCAGAATAAATAAGATCATTTTTTTACATATATATTGTACCTATTTTGCTATATATCCGATTTCTTGGCTATTAGCATCGCTGTAATGGTCAGAAGTGGGATTGAAAATATTCGCGGTTTAGTGGAAATTTTCCAATTTTCTTACATAAAAGTTAGGGTCCCGCTAATTATTGTCCGATGACCACCCAAATTGGTAGGTTTCTGTCCACTCCTAAACTACAACACCATGTAAATTTTCGCGTTGATTGGTTCATAATTGTGGCCTATAGAGCAACTGCGAATTCAGGAAATTTTTCTGTTTTTGGTCTATTTCAACCCCTAAATATCGTGCGATCATCTCCATTCTATTCTGACCATAACCCCACCTCCATTTTCAATTTCGTGAGGATAAGATCATAATTGCGACCTGTAGCTTGATTACAAATTAACGTGAACAGACGGACATACATACCTAGATCGACTCATCTCGGCGAGATAGGAAGATCCATATATACTTTCCTATGTGGGAGGTGTTACATAATTTTTGGCCCAATCAAACTTATAATACCCCCAACACATAGGGTTGTAGGGTATTAACATTGAAATATAAAACAATTTGTGTAACATGTTCTAATAGATTTAACCTAGCAAATTTGTAAGCACTAATCAGGTTACCTTTCAAATGTCTGGATTATTTTTCTACCCTTCACCTTGAAAAGGAGGGTATATTAACTTTCTCAATCCGTTTGTAACATCCCTAAATATTCGTCGTAGATCCCATCAAGTATACATATATGTTAATGATCAGCATAAAATTCTTCGTCGATTTAACGAGGTCGGTCTGTCTGCTTCTCTGTCTCATTATTTGTTAGAACAATTTTCTATTGTATCTGGGAGGATTGGTATTGAAAATGAGATACATCGGTCAACGTTGTGGTATAGTCGCCATATAACGGTACCTCCCGATATTCGGTATTTTGATGATTTTTCACATTTTTTTCACGGATTTGTCTAAAAATTTGTATTTGTAAGTCATAAAGGATTCTAGCTCCTGTGGCGAATCATTCCACGTATAGATCCACGTTTTGGTATAGCTCCCATATAACGGTGCCTCCTTATATTCGGTGTTTTAATGATTTTTCAAACATTTTTCCACGGATTTATCTAAAAATTGGTATTTGTTGTTCGTAAGGATTCTAGCTCCAGTGGCAGAACAATGAATATTTAGGTCCACTTTTTCCTATAGCGCACATATAACGATACCACCGATATTCGGTATTTTGATAATTCTAGCCACATTTAGCCACGAAACCGTTTCAAATTCGGTATTTAAGAAGATATGGGGTTTACAATCCTTTTATTTTGTTTGCAGTGCAATTATATTTTTCGGACTTAACAACAACCTGTGTATTGTGGAACAAAGATTTTGACCTGCATGGTACATCTTTTGTAAATTTTAATGTTGTGCTTATTATCAATCCATGGAACTTGAATGACACCTTTTCGAAGGACATCTACAATTTTGAGAAACAAGATAATCAATTGAGTAACGATGGAATTTATTTTGATGATTGGATAAAGAAATTTGTGGCAGCTATATCACACACACATTGCGAGGTGAATATTACCGTAATAAAAAATATTTAAAATTCTTTATCACACATTGAATTCGGAGTGTTGTAGAATATTCCGTATTGAAAGTTGTTGTGGATTATATAACTTTTCTTTTCAGGGTTTTGTGGTTTTTCAAGATGATATTCCTAGATTTGCCCATACCTATCGCAAGGCCAGTGTTTATTCCCTGTGGAGGTCGTTTGAACCGAAATTTTTATTTGCTTATACAAAGGAGAAACTAACGGAAGATTATTTTCAGGATTTATTGTTTAAGAGTTAGTTGGACTTTTATCAAGATATATATTTTTATAAGAACGATTATCTATTCTCAGATATCGCAAATATATTAGTTATCGAGACGGATTTTAAAAATGCCACCCAGTTTTATATTAAAACCAATAAATTTGTTGGCTCATTGTTCGAAAATCCAAATGAATTGATTGATGTCAGTGTGTTCAATGCTATAGAGGGAACTTTTGAACCTACTGTGGATTTATATCCCCGAAACAAATTACAAAATTTACAAGGAAGAGAAATTATTGTTGGCGCATTTGATTATCGTCCATTTGTGGTGGTTGATTTTAATCGTTTACCCTTGTACTATGATCATGCGGAGGACAATCCACGACATTTGGTCCACATTGATGGCACAGAAATGCGCATCGTTCATACATTTTGTGAACTCTACAATTGCAGTGTTCAGGTGGATACAAGTGAGTTCAAGTGAATTATCTTCAAATTTAAATTTATTATAAGATGTAACACTTGTAATATATTTTAAAGCCGAGAAAGAAGAATGGGGAACTCCATATCCGAATTATACTTCTGATGGAATGATTGGTACGATTATCGACGGGAAGACTCACATGGGCATGGGAGCAATGTATGCATGGTAAGTTAGCAAAATTTTTTACAGATTCTAAAATCTAAAAACTCAGGAACATTTCTATAACTGGTACAATAAAGCACATGGAAAGTGAAAAAAACTCCAGGACCACATACATATATCTGCAATCAAAAACAAATTTCCCCGCTTTAATTACACTTATATAATTAGACAACACAATCCAGTTATGTTTTTGGAAGCCACATGAGGCGAATAACTCATTACAATGCAAAAAGCCACGGTTTACATTACCAGTGGGTTGATATAATGAGTTCAAGACTCAGCAAAGGCAAATAAACAATAGCGACTAATGAAGCCAGATGTTATACCAAAATGTTAACATTTATTGATAATTTTTTAAAATGGAATTTCTACATAATAGCAAATATGACAAAAACTAAAAAAAAGTGAAATTGGGGTTTACCATTATATAAATTAAAACCAATCATTCTTAAATTAATAAAAAGCTCTCCAAAGATTTTCAAAGCTCTATACTAACAAGTAACAAAGGGTATAGTCGTGCGGGGCCGACCATTTAATACCCTACAACACTACAATATGTTAGAAGCTCTCTTATATCCAAACACCTTTTGGAAGATTTCGCTTTTGAAATTATGTCAGGGAACACTGCCAAGATATTACCCTTGGCATTTTGAACAGGGCCCAATATTAACGCACTCCGTCGTGCTGTTAGTTGTTATGGTCCATTTTACAGATAAATATAATCCAATGGTCATTCAAATTGCTAGAACTCTTACCTGTCCTTAACTCTTTTCTCAGGCGTGTCAAGTGGCTTCAAGTGTGTGATCAGAATTTGTTTTCTGTTTTTGGGTCATTTGAACCCCTAAATATTCTGCGATCATGTCGAAAAGCAAGAGGCTCCTCTGTATCTCTTAATTTAGACGCATCTATATGATTTGGTTGTCTTCGATATTTGGCTATATTCGTCAACGAAATCAGCATAAAATGCCAGAAGTTCGCCTTTTGCGTATTTTTTGGATTTTGCCTGCAAAAACTTGCAGCGTTTCGGTAGAATGTAAATGTTGGTATTTTTTCATACAAAAGTTGTTGTCCATTTTACCCGCTGTCCTAAACTCTAACTCCATACGAGAGTTCGTGTATTGTGGCTTATATTTTTGACCTTTAAATTGTCAAAATTGGTCCAGCCATTCTTGAGATATAACCATTCTAGCTAGCATCCCCTTTCTTATATTATATATATCCGATATATATACTATCGCAATCTACGTAACTATCAGAATTGAACTGTTCATCTATTTGTGATTTCGTCGGGATTAAAAATATTCGCGGTTTAATGGAAAATTTGAATTTTATTTAACACAAGTGTTAAAGTCTATTCCACCCACTAAATATTACTCGATGCCCATCAAAATTGGAAGGCTACTGCCCAGCCCCAAGTTCTAGCCCCCATGCTAACGTCGATTGATCTATACTTGCAACCTGTAGAGCAACTACAAAATCAGGACATTTTTCTCTTTTTGTTCATTTCAACCCCTAAATGTTATGTGATCATCCCCAAATGCAATAGGCTTCTATTCTGACCATAACCCCACCTCCATTTTCAATTTCTTGAGAATCGAGCCACAATTGCGACGTGTAGAGTGATTATAAATTAACATTGACAGAAGGACGGACGGACATACATAGCTAGATCGACTCAGTTATACTTTCCTATGTGAGAAACCAATATTTCGAGGTGTAAATAATTTTTGGCCCAATCAAACTTATAATACCCCAACACATAGTGTTGTAGGGTATAAATATTGCGAACTATTAGTAAATGTGTCTCAATGTATAACTTTCGAATGTAGTTTTATTAAAAAATACTACTTGTAGAAAAATAGTTTGTTTTGAGACGTGTAGTAAAATTTTGTGTAGAATGTTTCTACTTTTGACACTTTTTGCCTTAACTCAAAAAAAACGCAGGAATTTTTTTTTAAAATATTAGGAAATTAATTCAAAATGTTAAAGCAGCATTGATGCAAATCTTTCTTAGAAAGATAATGGACCAAAAACTGCCAAATTTCCTTATTTTACGGCTGCTCTAGATATCACAATTATAGACCAATCAATCAGAATTTTGTATGGGGCTAGAGTTTAAATTTCACTAAATAGCGAAATTTTTTTACGGCGAAATCACAAATGCAGGAAAAGGTCACTTCTGACCTTTACTTTGATGCTGATAGCAAATGTACAGCAAATGTAATGCTGATTAATATGTACAATCTATATATATTAAAGAAAGGGATGTTAGTTCAGATCGTCACGAAATTTTTCTGGGGTTAGGGTCAAAATAGAAGTCTGTTGTTTTGGAGATGATCGCATAATATTTAGGGGTTAAAATAGACTCAAAAATTCTAGATGTGACAATTAAAGACAAATCAACAGCGACTTTTGAATGAGGTTCGTAATTTGGACTGAGGAATGTAATAATGACAAAATCACATTCATTGAATCGAAAATTAAAATGGTTTTTTTAAGTCTATTTATATATCCTACTAACTGATCCCTGTGGCATTACTTCCCCCTTTTATATGCATCCAAAATTTTATTTATAAATATTATTAAGAATTTAACAAGTAAAAACCAGTAAAGAAAGTCTTAAAGTCGGGTGGGGCCGACTTCATGATACCCTACACCACTTTGCTAATTTAGTAGAGCTGCGCATAACAATTAAAAGTTTTTATGGGAGAATTCAATCATACACGCTATGATTATAATTATAATTTAAAGTTCAAAGAACTAACTATGCCGAAGCATTTGTATCTTTTAAATTCGGACTTGTATTGCCCAATTGGTGAACAATTAATTTGAAATCGGATAAAAATATATATGGGAGCTATATCCAAATCTGAACCGATCTCGATAAAATTTGGCAAAGATATTTCTGAGCTGTATTTGATATATTTCCCTGAATATCGTTGTAACCGAGTGCATATTACGGCTCTGGGTAACAAATATGACAAATCGGATGAACAGTATATATGGGAGCTATAGCTATATCTGAACCGATCTTCACCAAATTTGACATACTAGCTTCTAGACTTAATTCGGTCGTAAGTGGCAAATTTCATCCAATTTGGGCAAATATTAGACGTTTGGTGCACAATCAAAAGTAAATCGGACGAAGTCATATATGGGAGCTATATCCAAATCTGAACCGATCTTTATAAAATTTAGCAGATGTATTTCTGATCTGTATTTGATATATCGCCCCAAATATTGTTGTTACAGAGTGCATATTACGGCTGCGGAGGACAAAAATAACAAATCGGATGAACAATATATGGGAGCTATAGCTATATCTGAACTGATTTCGATCAAATTTGGCATACTTATTTTGAGGTAAATCTGATGGTACGTGCAAAATTCCATACTATTCGGACTGATATTGCACGTTTGGTGCACTATAAAAGGCAAACCAGACGAAGATATATATGGGAGCTATATCTAAATTTTGACCGATTATCTCCAATTTCAATAGGGTTCGTCCTTGGGCCAAACAAATGATTTGTGCAAAATTTCATCTGGATAGGGCAATAAATGCGAACTGTACTTTGTTTACAAAAATACATGGACAGACGGACGGACAGACGGACGGACATGTGATTCTATGCAGATCATCAGAATGAAATATGTGTCTATCTCGTTTCCTTTTGCCTGTTACAAACAAATGCACAAAGACATAATACCCTGATGGTGTAGGGTATAAAAACAGTAAGTTCGGCCGGGCCGAACTTTGAATACCCTCCACCATTTGGAACATATTAGGAAATTTCAAAAAAAAATCCATTAAAAATTCTGTTCAAATCTTCAAAATACCGAATATCGTAAGGTGCCGATATATTGGGGGGATAGACGATACTGTGGACCTATACAGACAAATCTATGTCTGGGGGTAAAATACTCACAATAAAATTCTTGTGTGGAATTCCAGACAATTTCATTGAGAAATGTTGTTAAAATCATCAAAATACCGAAAATGAGGGGTGCCGTTATATGGGGGATATACGATATAGACAATTATCTTGCAGGGGTAAAATACCCACAAGGAACTCCTTGTGTGGAATTTCAGACAATTTCCTTAAAAATATGGCTAAAATCATCAAAACACCGTTATATGGGGGCTATACGATATCATGGACCTATATAGACAATTCTCATTCAGGGGGTATAGTGCTCACGAAAAGGTTGCTAAAATCATTAAAATACCGAATATCGGGGGGTACCGTTATATGGGAGCTATACGATATCGTCGACCGATATATCCCATCTTCGAACTTGACCTGCCTGCATACAAAAGAGAGATATGTGCAAAATTTAATTTTCCTATCTTAATTCGTTTTGACAGTAGGTGATTACAACAGACCGATTTCAATATAATTTTTTCAATATTATTTTTGTACTAAATTCCGTCACTTATTCCAAATTTAATTGGAATCAATGATATACAAACGTGTAAAAACGTACAAACATTTTCTTCTTTTATAGATATTGTAGCGTATCACATGGTCAGCCCTTCACAGTGTTATATTCACAATATAGAAGACTCTATCTCACAAAATGTGGGTGGATACTAGATCTAGTGCAATTCTACTGTCGATATACGAACTTGACATACGTTTGTAATAAATAATTAAATAATTTGCAACAACAAAATAAATAATTATATGTTGAAAATTTCACACATAACGAATACAATGTCTCTGAGTCCAACTATTGTTGATCCTTTCACATCGATTTAATGTCATGCTAAAAAGTTTGCCTGTAAGCTTAGAACGTTTTTGAAATTGTGCTCCACCGACTCAATGCTATAAACGTATTTTCCCTAATACATCCCTTTTAAGTGCACATCTCAAGCCTTCCGTTTTCAGGTACATGGCATATAAATCCATCGATCAAACAACTTTTCTCGGCAGATCAGGTGTAACATGTCTTGTTCCGGCGCCATCTCGCAAAACCCGCTGGACACTGCCTATTAGACCATTTCCGTATAGTCTCTGGTTGGCTGTAATATTCTGCTTGTGTTGGGAAACGGTGGCTTTATGTTTGACAAGATTCTTCGAAGATCGGGTGGTGGTGCGACAAAATAATGCCTCCATATGGTCAAGTATACAGTTTGCATATGTCACCACATTGAAATTGTTTATATCGCAGAGTTCACGTTATGTTGTAAGGTCGCATACGGTAAGGACAATTCTGTTTGCTTGCTACATGATTGATATCATTGTGTCGAGCATTTATGCAGGAGGATTATCGGCCATCTTGACAATACCCGAGTGAGTAGAAATCACATTTCCTGTAAAAAAATTAATTTTTATTATCGCTTTCGATGTAGCCTTACAGAAGCGCCCGATTCTGTTGCGCGTCTATACAGCCATAATCTGACCTGGACATCTACATCGTATGCCTGGATAACCTCAATAGTAGATGAAGGCGATGGACCAAAGGATGTTAGTATAAAGGCTAAACACATTGGTCATAGTCGACAAATTAAATTTGTTTTTTCCTACAGCCAATCTTTCACCGCATTTTGGCCAACTATCGCATCAACAGTATGGATGAAATGCGCTCAAAGGCTAAAACCGAAAATATGGGTTTCGCCCTGGAACGCATGGCATTTGGTCATTTTGGAAATGGTGATTTCTTTACACCTGAAGCCCTGCAGCATCTTAAGCTTATGGTTGAAGATATCTATTATTCGTTTACTGTGGCCATGGTACCACGCATGTGGCCTCACTTGCCAAAATACAATGATCTAATATTGGCCTGGCATTCGTCGGGCCTCTCAAAATATTGGGAATGGAAAATTGTCGCCGAATATATGAATGCCAATGAACAGAATCGAGTTCAGGCCTCTATGTATAATCACATTGATGTGGGGCCAGTTCAGTTAGATGTAGATAATTTTGCTGGTTTCATAGGTCTATGGATTGCGGGCATATTTATGAGTATATTGGTTTTTATAGGAGAGTGGATTTGTTATTGGTGGAATAGAAACCAAATTTAGGAAGAAGTCTTTGTGTCAGCAATATATGGTGTATTGTTATTTTAAATAACAATAGAATTAAGAAGTGTTAGCAAAATGAGATTTTATGTGGGCAGAAAAGACGTATACCTAAATACGAGTACAGCGCAAATGTTAGAAGTATTATTTACAATTACACAGTGGTCCAACATGTTTGAGAAGGTGCAACAAAAATCTGTCTATACAATTAATCGATCTGTTTTTTTAGATTAGCTTTATAATGAGTAAAAAATAATGCAATTAGAAAATTGTGGAAATTGGTCAAAGTTTAGACATAGTCCCCACATATTGCGGTACCCTCCGATTTAAAGAAATTTGAAGATTTAGTACATATTTTACTGAAATTTACTGAAGTTTGGTATCTGTTATTAATGTTAATGTTATTAATGAATATCCGATGTCCTAGCAAAGTGATGTTAATATGGGTCCACAATTTGATATAGCCCCCATAGAAACCTACCCCCGTTTTTACTTCTTTGTACGGTTTCAACCACATATTTTCAATCGATTTTGTCGAAATTTTACATTTATGTTTGGGATCGGGAAACAAATTGATTGATGAATTGATAACAAAAATTGTCAACACTGAACATGTTTTTCATATAGCTCCCATAGAACCCCACCTCCGATGTGAGGGAACTTCAAGATTTTGGCAAATAGTTTCCACAGATTTTGATGTAATTTAGCATTTTGGTTCCTGAATACTATATATACATTCTTTCAAAAAATTATGTAGAAATGTTACCCTTTGGTATATCCACCCTAAGAAAGTACTTCCACATTTGCAGTATTTTAAAGTTTAAAGTGACGTTTTGAAACACGAGTATGATTCACATATGCAGATATATGCACCATTTTCAGCATTATGAGAGTCTCAAGGAATGCCCTATCTGGTAGAACTTAATGTATTATTTTAACAGTGTTTTGTAAAAAATGCTAAAAGAGGGGAAACTCTAAGAGTGTTCTTCCACTGCAGTTAGAAGTGAAAATATGAATATGGTTTTGAGTAAAGACTATCGATAGGACCATTAACACTAACATTCGGTGTAATTTAATATTGGAACTGACAATACTGCAATGAGTACTTTAAGTTTCTCCAAAATCCTGATAAAATAATTCCACATTCTCTGCTTTCGGTTGCCAAATGCGGTCTTAAAGTTAAGAAATATTTTTGGAATATTAAAAATTAATATGCTAAGAGAATATTTGCAGCGCTAAAGTAAACATTTGTTGTATTCAGGTTTTTGATGGTTGTCATGATTTGGGACCACTGTTCATTATCTTGAACACAAACGCACTCTATGGGAAATTTTGTAGTTCATAGAAATAGAAATTATTAAATATGCAAAATATCAAAAAATTTTGTAGTACTTTGTAATGCATTAAATGTTTTATGTGTAATAAATATTATATAATCACTAAACACAGCAAATTGAAGTTTTTCATTACGGGCCGTGTTTTTTCTAAATTCGTATACCCTACACTACACAGTGGTAAGGGTATTATGTATTTTTACATATGGTTGTAACATGGAGAAGGAAGCGAAAGAGACCCATAGTTACTTTAGAGCATCTTCATAGAATCACTTTCTGAGTTGATTTATGCATGTCGGTCCATCTGTCCATGTATTCTTGTGAACAAAATGCAGGTCACATTTATTACTCGATTGTGATGAAATTTTCCAAACAACATTTGTATGGGCCAAGGTCGAACCCTATTGAAATTGGTAAAACCAGGTTCAAATTTAGATATACCTCCCATATATAGCTTTATCCGATATCAGGTTTATTGTGCACCAAATGGCCAATATCACTCCAATGAATTTTTGGCGCATCCGACCAAATTCAGTCTAGAGGCAAGCACATCAAATTTGGTGAAAATCGGTTCAAATATAGCTATAGCTACCATATATATACTTTATTGGATTTGGGGTTTTAAGTCCCTCACAGTCCCTTTTTTGCATCAAATGGCCAGTATCAGCACAAATGAACTGAGTTGTGGCACTTCCGATAGGAATCAACCTAAATGCAAGTGCATCAAATTTAAGAGAAAATCGGTCCAGATATAGCTATAGCTCCCATATACAGGGTGAAATGAAAAAAACTGCAACCAACTTCAGACTGCTGTCATTTCTAAGCCACTCGTCCGACAGCTGTTAAAATTATTCCAGTGGCAGCTCATTATATTCTTTACATTTTGGTGAGAATTTTCCGAAAAAAAGAAATTATTCGTGATGGAATTCAAGCGTGATAATGTGATTTCTTTATATTTGGCTGGAAAACCACAAGTGGCTATTGTTAGAGCACTCCAGCATTTAAATGTGAATAAATCTTTTGTGTCTCGTACCATCGCTCGTTACCGTGATACTGGCAGGGTAGCCCGACGTCAAGGAAGTGGACGGAAGAAACAGCAACATCAGTAGAAAATGTTCGAAAATTAAGAAACGACTTGATCGAAACCCGCGTCGCAGCGGCTCCTGAGCTGAACATATCGCAATATTCCATTCGGCAAATATTTAAAAATGAGTTCGTGGAAAGCCTTTGAAATTCCAAAAAGTGCAAGAACTTATACCGCAATAGAAAGAAAATAGACTCAAAACAAAGACCTAAAATGGTAAAGACTAGACAAAATGCATTTTGAGCAAATGGTTTGTGTCTACAATACATAGAGTAACAGCTCATGGCAGAGACATATTATTATAAAAACCACAATTACAGAAAAGAATAACAACTAAAAATTTGAAAAATTCAATATTTTCGCCTTAAAATTTTATTCCATAGACCTTCCAAAAATTTACATATTGCCTCAGCGGTTTAAATCAGTTAACATTTGTAGCTATGTTGTTACGATATCATAACAACAGAGATATTTTCACAGGGTTGCCACATCTTGACTCTGTCTTGTCCCATCTTTATACTTCTATGTCTTTGCTCAAAAGAGCTAAAGAGTTGCTTCGCTTGGCCGAAAGTGGTGAACTGCCGAATTTGGTTTGCTCCGATGAGAAAACATTCGTTGTCTATCTGTTTGTAAACAAACAAAATGATCGTGTTTACTTGACAAAGAAGTCAGCTGAAAATGTGCACCGTCGGTTCGATACCAGAACTCAAGCGCCGGCCATGGTGATGGTGTGGGCCGCCAGTACAGCCGATGGTCGCTCTCCGCTCGTATTAATCGACCGTGACATCAGAATAAATGCCGAATATGGAGGATGTATTAAAGCCTTGGGTATGCAAACATTTTGGCCGCAGACCTTAGACATTCCAACAGGACTCCATCGCACTCAGCACGCGCCACCCAAGAATGGTTACAAAATGAGGTTCTTCGCTTCGCGCACAATGGCCACCAAGGTCTCCGGATACTAATCCGTTGGACTACTGTGTCTGGAGTATTTTGGAAAGCAAGGTTGGCACTAAAAAATGCCAAAGTGTCGATCACCTCAATCCAACGCTTTGCCGGGCCAAAATACCGCATAGCAACATTCGGGCAGCCTGTGACGGTTTCATTGGTCATTTGAAGGCCGTAAATCGTGCCCATTCGAACAAATCTAAACTTATTGTAAAATTTGATGCTATTTCCGACATTTTTTGCTTTCATTGAATAAAATTTAATAAAATATGTAAAAATTATGGTGTTTGAATTTGTTGCAGTTTTTTTATTACACCCTGTACTTCAAATAAATGCTTTTGTTTCCGGAGCTCTACTTAATATGCATAGTAGCATAAGGTATCATATAGTCGGCACCAACCGACTTTTGACTTTTCCTTCATGGATTATAATGGGGTGGTGGTTTTTCTTAAATTTTTTATTTGATAGAGTGTTTGTTATCCCAAATGATCGAATGAAGTTTGAAATGTAAAGCACTTATTGAATTTTTCGTTAAGTTAATATTTATAAAGAAGTGATAATGTAATCATAATGGGTTAATATAAACTGTATACATCTTTAAAGCAAAATTCAAACCATCAGTTACAAATTTAACTATAGAGATTTTCGGAAGAGAATTTCCAGGTCATTTAGGATGGATCGGAAACTCGTTGCTCCTGTGGGGGTTTTGCTTCTGTGGTACAAGGAGCCAAAGAATCGTGGTTGGGCAAAAAAACAATTAACAAATAACCGAACTTCCAATACCTTCCAGCATTTTGGAGGAAAAAGTCCAAGAACTCCGAAAAATACCGGTCAAAGGTAGTACCCATTGCGACCTTTAAATACGAAACTTGAAACAATTCCGGTAAAAATGTCGCTAATTTCATCAAATCGAATAAAGTGAGGTATCTCTATATGTGGTCTATATGAAAACGTGGACCAATATGCAAATTTCTTCTTCAGGGGTAAAGTACTTGGGAGATACTCGTGTCGAATTTCAGACAATTTCATTGAAAAATATGGTTAAAAAATACCGAATATAGGCTGGGGGTTATACAATATCGTTGACCCTTATAGCCCATCTTCGAACTTGACCTGTCTGCAGATAAAAGACTGATGGGTGCAAAGTTTTTGGTTCATATTATAATTCGTTTTGGCTCTAGCGTGACTACAATAGACGGACAGGCCTAAATCGTCTTAGAATTTTACTCTGATCAAGAATAATGATGAAATCATCACGATACTCTCGGAGTGCTCTATAGATTGCTGGTTAAGGTAACTCGCGCACCACTGTCCGCCGTTAAAACAAATAGAGACCGATCATATTTCATTCCATATTTTCGCTTATGCCTGCAAACTAGCCTATATACCTGCAGATGCCTGACTCCGTAATCATTAGGGTTCATACATCACTCTCATATGCTACTTCCGCTAACAGATTTCGTCATATGCCCAACCTGAAGACAAGATTAGTATTTCAGGTGAGCCGTGGAAGTCTCCCTTATGCGGTAGTCTATGGATGCGTACTCATTTACGGTGCAAAATATAGAGTAATCAATATCCTCCGAAATCGTGTATTTGTGTATTAGTAAAAGTTTAAAACAACGTTTCAGTTTTTTACAGTGTATTCCTCTCCTGCCTACTAGACTATTATGGATTGTTAAATGTATTATTGACAAAAAAAAAAACATCCATAAATATTGCCTCATTACTTTGTAAATAGAAATAATGCATAACAAATTATTTCAACATTAATATTTAAATGCATGCAATTAATATAACATATGAGCAATATAATTGCAAGCATTTTGCACAGCAATTCCTCAGAACTTCTTTACGTTTTGTCAGCTCTACAAGCAAAATTTTCTTTCCAAACGCTCGTCATGATAGTTACGGAAACAAGTTACTGGTCTAGTGTGATTAATGTAATATGTAAGTGTAAAAATCAATAAAAGACATTAATTACCAAATCTAATACGTAGTTTCTTTCCTTTTCTCTTTTTTTTTGCTTGTAATCTTTTATTGGCGATTTCACAGTGCATTCGTATTTTTCGAATTTAACTACTACATGTGTATTGAGACATAAGGAATATGACTTGCTTTGGACATTAGCAGCGATAAATTCTAATGTTTACTTGCAAATAAATCCTTGGACCCTGAATGAATCCTTTTCGAAGGATATACACAATTTTGATGAACAAGATAAGCAATACACTGATGATGGTATTTATTATGATGACTGGGTAAAAAAATATGTGGCTGCCATAACACAGGCCAATTGTGAGGTTAGTTTCAAATGCATTACATTGAATGAATGAAATAGTGTGAAACAAATAACGTAGTAAATTTGTATAAAGTTCGTCAATGGTCGTCGAACACAAGATCGATTGAAATCAAGATAAATATACAATATTGCACTTAAAGCTCTGAAATGGCACTCGTATAGGAAATGTGCTTTATCGGTCCATGTTTAGGGATAGCTCTATAGAACTGTACTTCTCTATTTTCGGCATTTCAAAGTTTTTTGTTACAATTTCCTACTTAAGCAGCTGAAATTTGAGATTTTCATAGAACCGGAAATTCCAAAAACACCCTTATATATATATATATATATATATATATATATATATATATATATATATATATATATATATATATATATATATATATATATATATATATATATATATATATATATTTATATATATATATATTAGATAGATTATAAATTTTGGTATTTTGAAGCTATCTTCGGTTTCTAACGGAATAATTTGTAATTTGTAATTCACAAACACCACCTTAGCTGTAGTCCAAAATGATGTGGTTTTTGAAGATGATAACCACATTTTTTCTTCAGAACGAATTTTTCGGTATTTTTACTGGCTCTGATATATGATCATACCACAGATTTTGAGTTTTTATAACCTACACCACATAGTGGTTATTATGTCTTTGTGCATTTGTTTGTAACACGTAGAAGGAATCGAGATTGACCCATAGATAATTTTGAGGATCTTCATAGAATCACATTCTGAGTAGATTTATACATGTCCGTCCGCCCGTACATTTATTTTAAATTTGGAGAAAATCGGTGTTTAGGTCCCTCACATTAGCATATTCGACAACAATGATATTTAGTACCAGATATCTTATAAATCTTATAAATCTCAGAAATACCTTTGACAAATTTTATCAAGAACGGCTAAGATTTGAGTATAGCTCCCATATATATCCTTAATCTGATTTCAGGTTTATTGTGCAAATAATAGCTAATGCCACGGGAGCTCTACTAAATATGCAAAGTGATGTAGGGTATCATATAGTCGGCCCTGCCCCTCTTTTGACATTTATTTACTGGTTTAAGTTTTTAAATGAATACTATAATAAAATTTTTATCTCAGCAGCATTTTTCTTCGTAAAGGAATGGCCACATGATAACCAGTAAGGAAAGGCCACTATGTGTATTAGTGTAGTAGAGCTCCCGTAACAAAAAAAACAAGTAAAAAAGCAGTAAGTTCGGCCGGGCCGAACTTTGAATACCCTCCACCATTTGGAACGAATTAGAAAATTTTCAAAAAAATTAAATCCAATAAAAATTCTTTTAAAATCTTTAAAATATCTAATATAGGAAGGTGCCGATATATGGGGGGATGTACGATATCGTGGACCTGTATAGAAAATTCTCTCTCAGGGGGTAAATTACTCGCAAGGAACTACTTGTGTGGATTTTAAGACAATTCCGTTGAAAAATGTGGGTAAAATCATCAAAATACCGAATATCGGGGGGTACCGTTATATGGGGGCTGTACGATATTGTAGACCTATATAGATAATTCTCTGCCGAGGTATAAAGTACCCACAAGGTACTCCTTGTGTGGATTTTCAGACAATTCCGTTGAAAAATGTGGGTAAAATCTTCAAAATACCGAATATCGGGGGGTACCGTTATATGGGGGCTATACGATATCGTGGACCGATATCGTATAGCCCCCATATCTGTGCAAAGTTTTAACTTCCTATCTTAATTCGTTTAGACTGTAGCGTGATTACAACAGACGGACAGGCGGACGGACAGGCGGACGGACAGGCGGACGGACAGGCGGACGGACAGGGCTAAATCATCTTAGAATTTTACGCTGATCAAGAATATATATACTTTGTTGGGTCTAAAATGATTATTTCGATGAGTTACAAACGGAATGACGAACTTAATATACCCTCCATACCTTTTTTGGTGGAGGGTATAAAAATTATACTGGGAATTTATGAACCAAATAAAAATGCTGTATAGTGCATGATATGACTTCGATGAGGAAAAAGTATTGATTGGCGTTATAGTTATTCCGGACGGAGTTTCACCAAAATTGGAAAAATTCGGTTGAATAAGAAAAAGTATATCCAATTTGGGCTGATATTACATATATGGTGCGCAATAACGGTAAAATCGCATGTGAGGGACTTTAGCACCAAATCGGAAAAAACATATATATAGGAGCTATAGCTATATCGCACCCGATTTTCACCAAATATGATGTACTTGTTTCTAGTCTGATAAAGATATATATGAGAGCTATATCCTAATCTGATCCGAACTCGAAATTTAACAGAGGTATATTTGAGCTTTATAACTTATCTGGTACCAAATATCATTCTTGTGTATGCATGTGAGGGATTTAAAGCCGCAAATCGGATGAAACATATATGGCAGCTATAGGTATATCTGAACCTATTTTAATGTACTTGCTTCTAGACTGAATTCGGTCGGATGTGCCAAAATGCAAGTCATTTGGACTAATATTAGTCATTTGGTGCACAATTACATCATCCTAATATTCTGTCATCACAAGATCCAGTGTGCAGATGAAATTTATTGGAACACTCCTTCTGATATCTCCCCCACAACGGCTCAACATTCTGAATTCTATTGAATTATTACTCTCATAAAATGCGAAATCAGCACCCAATTCAATTTCACATATTCCAATATTTCTACTAGCACAAGATTTGGTGTGAAGATGGTAGATATGGGTCCACTTTTCTGGTACGTTTCCTAGTTTAAAGAACCAATACACTCATAAAATGCGAAATGAACTTGATTTGTATTAACACAAGATCTGTCATGAAAAGCCTTACTCCTTCTTAAACGGTCACATTTTTAAATACCTATATCTCTCATAACTTATAAAACAATTAAGCGATTCTTAGCATATCTAAATCCACTAGAGATCCGATGGTAATATGGAATTTATCGGTTTAAACCTTCTGGCACCTTCCTCATAAAAGGTTTACATTTTTATATTAAGAATTATTCACATAAAATTGGTATTAGATGTCCTATTTTAAATTTTGCACATCGTAATATTTTTTATCAGTATTGGATGAAGTGAACCACTATATCTGGTACCTCACGCATACTTCAACATTTTCCAAATTATCGCATATCTCATATAAAATGAAGCAAGAAGTTTTTCGGTCAAAATTGTAATATTTATATCTGTGTTAGTTCAGATGAGGAGTGAATAATATTGGGCCAGTCATTCGGTATCTTTTCCATAAAAGTTCAATATTTTAAATAATCATAATTTAAGTCAAAATATATTTTAATAAACTGATATGGGCTGGTCTGTTTGCAAAACCAATGATAACTAATGATATTCGTTAACCATTTTTTTAATATTTGACTCCTTAATCTTTACATTAATGCTAACACTTTTGTTTATAATGCATTACAGGGATTCCTGGTTTTTCAAGACGATATCCCGAGATTTGCACAGACTTACCGTATGGCCAGTGTCTACTCGATTTGGCGTTCATATGAAGCAAAATTTTTATTTGTCTATACGAATGAGACACAGTGTGAAGATTTTTTCCAGGATTTATTTTTTAAAAGTAAGACCTCAATCTTATAATAATATTCAAACATTAATTTTTATTAAATGGCATTTCAGATAATGCAAACATTTTAATCATTGAAGCGGAATATAAAAATTCTACTAAATTCAATATTAAAACGAATAAATTTGTTGGCTCGTTTTTTGAAAATCCTCATGAATTACTGCAAATTAGTCAATATGATGCGCTAAACGAAACATTTGAGCCAAATGTCGATTTATTTTCACGTCACAAGCTACAAAACTTGCAGGGACGTGAAATTATTGTCGGTGCTTTCGATTATCGTCCATTTGTGGTGGTAGATTTTCAACGTTTACCCCAGTACCATGATTATGCTGAGGATAATCCCCGACATTTGGTCCATATTGATGGTACGGAAATGCGTGTTGTTCACACCTTTTGCGAAATCTATAATTGTAGTGTGCAGGCGGATACTTGTAAGTTACTGCTATCATAACATAATCAATGATCAAAACTGTTTGTTATCCTTTTTAGCCGAGAAATCCGAATGGGGAATGCTATACCCCAACTACACTGCCGATGGTTTAATTGGTATGATTGTTGAAGGCAAAACTCACATGGGTTTGGGAGCATTTTTTGTATGGTAAGTAAATTGACATAATATTATCCAATGATAGGATGAGTCTCTTTCCGAATGAATGTCATTTCGGTTGGGTAATCATTTGATATACGGGAATTTTTATTGTATACTTATTTTGGCATACTTTTTTCAATCCATACATTAGACTTTTTTGGATGAAAAAACTACTTCCGCCCCATATATTATATATGTTACCGATCAGGTTTCTAGTTAATTCTTACATGTCCTAGCCATGTCCGTCTGTCTTCACTAAACAGATCTGGCATGAAACTACTTCCCCCTCGACCAGAATCTTATATATTACTTATAATAAGATTCATACTTCTTACAGGCAATTCATATATGTTCTTTTTTATACCCTCCACCATAGTATGGAGGGTATATTAAGGTTGTCGTTCCGTTTGTAACACCTCGAAATATACATTTTAGACCGCACAAAGTATAAACATTCTTGATCAGCACAAAATTCTATGTCGATTTAGCCATGTTCTTCCGTCTGCCTGTCCGTCTGTGAAAATCACTCTAGCTTCCAAACGAATTGAAGTAGATTGTTAAAATTTTACTCAAATATGTGTTTGGTTTGCAGGACTTTTGGTATTGAAAACGGGCTATATAGGCCTACGTTCAGGTATATATATAACTGTACCTCCCTATATTCGGCATTTTCATGATTTTCGCAACATTATTCACCGGAATTGTTTGAAAATTGGTATTCGAAGTTCCTAAAGTTCCTACAGCCTGTGACAGAAAATTGCCTATGTAGGTCCAGGTCGTCGTATAGCTCCCACATAACGGAACCTCCGAATATTCGGTATTATGATGACTATACACGTACTGAGTGCAGTGTAGCTGAGTCCTGTTGGAATGTCCAAGGTTTACGACCTTCGGCTGTTATGGCGGCCCACACTATCACCATGGCCGGCGCTTGAGTTCTGGTGGCCAACTGAAGGTGCACATTTTCAACTGACCATTGTTTATAAACTGCTGGACAGCGAATGTTTTCTCATCGGAGATAACCAAATTCGGCAGTTCACCAACATTCGTCCAAGCGAAGCAACTCGTCGTCGGGCTACGCTACCATTATCACGGTATCGAGCAATGGTACGAGACACAAACGATTTATTCACATTTAAATGCTGGAGTGCTGTAACGATAGCTACTTGTGGTTTTCCAGCCAAATATATAGGGAAATCACGCTATCACGCTTGAATTCCATCACGAACTTTTTTTCTGGAAAGTTCTCACCAAAACGCTTTTGTTCGCTTGTAAGTTGTAAGCCATATAATGAGCTGTCACTGGAATAAGTTTAACAGCATTTTTGACATTCCCTGAAGTATAAATTTTTCTATTGAGTTTCCCGTTCTGGAATGGCCCCCATACAACAACCTCACCCACTTTATGGGGTTTTTAAAAGTTCAACAGCATTGTCCAACCTTACTCGTATTTGTAGTTCAAAGTGGAACACGTTTTAATTTAGATACTTTTATATAAAATTGTTTTCTTTACCGGAAGAACTTATTGTTGTTTATTTGTTTCATTTATTATTACGTTTATTTTATTATTATTACGTTATCTCCCATATCTGTTTTTTTTTGTCATTTCAGGTATATAGCCTACAGAAGCATAGATCAAACATCATTTTTGGGTAGATCAGGTGTAACATGCCTTGTTCCAGCACCAACCCGCATGAGCACATGGGCGTTACCTATCACCCCATTTAAATATACCCTTTGGTTGGCTGTGATATTGTGTTTATTTGCGGAAGCTTTGGCATTATTTTTGGCAAGACTATTTGAAGAGCATCTAATCGAAGAACAAGAGAATCTCGACATAATGTCAAGCGTGGAATTTGCCTATTCGACCACGTTGAAACTGTTTATATCCCAAGGATCAGATTATGTGGTTAATTCACATACTGTTAGAACAGTTTTGTTTGCCTGCTATGTGATCGATATTATTGTGACCAGTGTTTATGGGGGTGGTTTATCGTCCATCTTGACATTACCAGAGTAAGTAGAATTCTTGAAATCTGCATAAAATATATTCATATTTTTAATGCCTTCACAGTCTCTCTGAAGCGGCCGATTCAGTTGAACGTTTGTACAGCCATAATCTGACATGGACTGCCACATCCTATGATTGGGTTGCCTTACTGGAAGACGAGATTGAAGTAAGTTAGGTTTTTATTTTTTTCATATTCCATACTAAAATGTGATCTCCTTGTAGCCTCTGTATCAGCGTCTAGTGACAAACTACCGTATCAGCAGCAGAGAAGAAATGCGGTCAAGGGCAAAAACAGAAAACATGGGCTTTGCCTTGGAACGCATGGCTTATGGTCATTTTGGCAATGGCCATTTTATTACATCCGAAGCCTTGGATCGTCTGAAACTAATGGTTGATGATATCTATTTTGTCTTCACTGTGGCCATGGTGCCGCGCATGTGGGCTCACTTAACAAAATATAATGATTTAATATTGGCCTGGCATTCGTCGGGACTCTCGAAATACTGGGAATGGAAAATCGTTGCCGATTACATGAATGCCAATGAACAGAACCAAGTACAGGCGTCGATATATACTCAAATTGATACCGGTCCCGTAAAGTTGGATATGAGCAATTTTGTGGGACTAATTGCACCATGGATTGTGGGCATCATTTTAAGCATTGTGGTGTTTATAGGGGAATTGATTTACTATCGTTGGCGCCAAGGGAAGGAAAATAGGCAAATAATACCAGATGAATAATGTAATATTAGAAAATTTTATTACAACTAGCTACATTTTCATTAGCATACGAAAATAACTCCGATTTATTTTTTGAAATTATCTTACAGTAAAATTTTTAAGATTAACACAAACTATAAATTGCTATCACAGATTAACCAACACAAAAGATAATACTGTTCTGTCAATTTTGACAGAATGGATTGAAGTAGATTGAACAATATAGGAAGCACGGTGATACCTAAATAAAAAGTAATAAATTTTAAAATCAATAAATCGTACAATATTCAAGCTTTTATTGTTCCTTAGGGTATCGTAAAACAAGCTATGTTCTGATATGATGATCCTAGGCCAGACTCATAATTGAATGTCAAAAACATTTCAAACTTCAGCAGCATATTTTTACCACGTCACTTGATTTTTATACGCTACAACACTATGTCCGTCCATCCGTCCACGTTAATTTGTAATCACTCTACAGGTCGCAATTATGGCGCGATCCGATAATTGAAAATGGGGGTTGGATTATGGTCAGAATAAAAGCCTATTGCTTTGGAGATGATCGCATAATATTTAGGGGTTGAGATGGACAAAAACTAAAAAATTTCCTGATTTTGCAGTTGCTCTACAGGTCGCAATTATAGACCAATCGACGCTGAAGTTAGCACGGGGTTAGAGCTTTGGCCTGTGTAGACATCTTCCAATTTTGATGGTCATCGGGTAATAAAAGTGGGTGAAATAGGCCATAACATTTGTGGGTGAAATAGGCCATAAAATTTCCCCTAAAACAGCGAATATTTTTAATACCGGCGAAATTACAAAAAGACGAACAGGTCAATCCTGACAGTTAAGTAGATGTCGATAGTAGATATATCGGATATATATAGCGAAAAATATACAATATGTATATATAAAGGAAATGGATATTAGCGGGAATGCATATATCTCAAGAATGGCTGGACCGATTTTGACAAATTTTGTCAATTCAGAATGATCTATAGTTCCTTTTGATGATCTGCATAGAATCACATTCTGAGTCGATTTATGCATGTCCGTCCGTCTGTCCATGTATTTTTGTAAACAAAGTACCGTTCGCTTTTATTGCCGTATCGAGATGAAATTTTGCACAAATCATTAGTTTGAGCCAAGGACGAATCCTATTGAAATTGGAGATAATCGGTCAAAATTATGATATAGTTCGCATATTTATCTTCGTCCGACTTGCCTTTTAATGTGCACCAAACGTATAATATCAGCCCGAAATCGGTTCAGGTATAGCTATAGCTCCCACCAATTGATTGTGCACCAAACGTCTAATATTTGCCCAAATAGGATGAAATTTGGCACTTACGACCGAATTGAGTCTAGAAGGTAGTATGTCAAATTTGGTGAAGATCGGTTCTGTGCACCAAATGGGCAATACAAGTCCGAATTTAAAAGATACAAATGCTTCGGCATATTTAGTCCTTTGAACTTTAAATTATAATTATATTCATAGCGTGTATGATTGAATTCTCCCATAAAAATTTTTAATTTTTATACGGAGCTCTACTAAATTAACAAAGTGGTGTAGGGTATCATAAGTCAGCCCGCCCGACTTTAAGACTTTTTTTACTGGTTTTTTCATACATTTCTTCATTTTTATACCATACACCACAAAGTTGTCAGGGTATTATGTCTTTGTGCATTTGTTTGTAACAGGCAAAAGGAAACGAAATAGACCCATAGTTCCTTATGATGATCTGCATAGAATCACATTCAGAGTCGATTTATGCATGTCCGTCCGTCCGTCTGTCCATGTATTTTTATAAACAAAGTACAGTTCGCATTTATTGCCCTATCCAGATGAAATTTTGCACAAATCATTTTTTTGGCCTAAGGACGAACCCTGTTGTAATTGGAGATAATCGGTTAAAATTTAGATATAGCTCCCATATATATTTTCGTCCGATTTGCCTTTTATTGTGCACCAAACGTGTAATATCAGTCCGAATAGTATGGAATTTTGCACGTACGATCAGATTGGACCTGAAAATAAGTACGCCAAATTTGATTGAAATCGGTTCAGACATAGCTATAGCTCCCATATATATTGTTCATCCGATTTGTTATTTTTGTCCTCCGCAGCCGTAATATGCATTCTATAACGACAATATTTAAGGAAATATATCAAGTACACATCAGAAATACATTTGCTAAATTTTATCGAGATCGGTTCAGATTTGGATATAGTTCCCATATATAACTTCGTCCGATTTACTTTTTTTTTGTACACCAAACGTCGAATATTTGCCCAAATGGGATGGAATTTGGCACATGCGACCGAATTGAGTCTAGAAGCTAGTATGTCAAATTTGGTGAAGATCGGTTCAGATATAGCTATAGCTCCCATACGAGGGTAGGGTTAGGCTTAGAAGGGCTAGGCCTATTGTTTTTAAAGATGTCCGCAATATATTTAGGGTTTGAAATGGACCAACAACTAAAATATTCCTTATTTTGCAGCTGTTATAAAGGTCACAAATAGAAACCAAAGAACACGAAATCTCGCATAAGGTTAGAGTTTAGGACAGCGAGTGGAATGGACCACTACTTTTGTGTGAAATAATACCAACATTTCCATTCTAACGAATGAGAATAGTTATATTTAGCTGTAAAATGGACCATAACAGCTAACTGCACGGCGGAGAGCGTAAATATTGAGCAAATATCCAAAAAAGGAAGGGTAATATGTGGGCAGTGCTCCATGACGAAATCTTCCAAAATGGATTTGAACATAATGGGGTTTCTAAAGTATTTCAGTGTTGTAGGGTATGACATGGTCGGCCCACACTACTTTAGCCTTTGCTTACTTGTTTTTATTATTAATTTGAAGCTGGTAATGGCAGCCTATGATAGAAAATTGTCTTTGCAGGTCCACGTCTTCGTATACCCCATACATATACGGTTCTTCTCTTTTTTAGTATTTTAAAAAAATCAGCGACATAATTCAACGAAATTGGTTTAGATTTCGTATTTGATTCACATTCTGAGTCGATTTATGCATGTCTGTCCATTTTTTTTTAAATCATTTGGTTGACCTTCGTCCTTTGGTTGAAATTATTGAAATTGGTGATAATAGGATCAGATTGGATATGGCACCCATATAAAGTGTCATCCGATTTAATAAGTATTGTGCATCAAATTCATAATATCAGTCCGCATTAAACGAATTTTAGCACAACATTTGGTGAATATCGGTTCAAATTTGGATATACCTTCCATTTATATATACCTCCGATTTAAATTTTACTGTGCCCTTTATGTGCAATATTTCTCCAAATGGGATAGATGTCGACACATCCAATCTATTCATCCGATTCAGATCAGAATCAAGTCTTTCAAATTTGGTGAAAATTGGTTAAGATATATCTGTAGCTCCCATATATAAGTGTCATCCGCTTTGATATTTAAGTCCCTCACATTCGTTATATACACTTCACTACAATGATATTTGATACAGCTCAGACATAAATCAGACAAATGTTATCGATATCGGTTAAAATTTTGTATGTTGATTATGCGGGTTAATATATCGTTGCAATGGCAGCCCTGGCGTTTGCAATTTCTTACATTAAGTTTTGCAACAGCTATCAATCTTTGAACTCAATTTTAATTAAATAATAAGTAAAATAAGTTCGGCCGGGCCGAACTTCGGATACACTCCACCTTTGGAACGAATTTGGCGGTTTTCAAAAAATAAAATCCTTTAAAAATTCTCTTAAAATCCTAAAAATACCAAATGTAGCCGTCATATTAGGGTCTAAACGATGACGTGATAAGCCATTACAATATTCAAATGCGAAATTTCAAAAACAAATTGGTGGATAATGTAGATAAAATCATCATTATATGGGGAATATACCAAAATGTGAACCTGCACAGACAATTTTCTGCCTTAGGCTGCAGTATCCATTACGAACTTCAAATACTTCAAAAAATTTCGAATATAGGGAGGTATCGTTAAATGGGGGCTATACAAAGACGTGGACTTGCACAGACAATTTTCTGTCTTAGGCTGTAGTATCCATTCCGAACTTCAAATACCAAATTTGAAACATTTCCGGTGAAAAGTGCCGCTAAAATCATCGGGAGGTACCATTATATGGTCGCTACACCAAAAAGTGGACCTACGTTACCCATTTGCAATACCAAAAGTCCTGCAGACATAATACACACTTGAGTAAAAGTTTATCAACCTACTTCATTTCGTTCGGAAGCAAGCAAGAGTGAATTCCACAGACGGACGGACATCGCTAAATCGACATGGAATTTTATGCTGATCAAGAATATATGTATATACTTTCTGGGGTCTAAAATGTATAATTCGAAGTGTTACAAACGGAATGACAAACTTAATATACCCCCCATACTATGGTAAAGGGTATAAAAATAGTGTGACTTGACTGTGACTTCAGAGTAACTGTGGCCTTTACCAAGACGGACATGGCTATTCCAATTGTCCTAAATAGATTTCGTGCAAATATTAATGGGGATTAAATCCTATATTTCGATGAAGCATATTTTCGACTGTATTTATTACAGTGCATATTCTCTTCTATATTATCTGCACGTGTTCTTAATAAGTGTCCATTTAGGTTTATATATATATATGATATGCCCACCTCTTGTTCTATAAATACAATAATATGTAATGTCCTATAAATTATTTAAAGAAATTTAAAATGTAAACAATTTAGAACTGAAAACCTTTTATAGGGGGCAGTTCGATTAGCAGAACTCATTCATAACTTCTTCACATATTGTCAGCACTACATGGAAAACTGGCAAAGAAAGCACAATGATAAGTACGGAAAACAATCATTGGGCAACAGTTATTAATATTATATGTAAGTGGAAAATCAATAAATGCTCCAATTTCATCTAAATATAACCATGTGTGTTTCAACTATTTCCCCTTTTATTCTAAAGTGCAATCATATTTTACGGATTTAACTACAACATGTGTTTTGAGACATAAGGATTATGATAATGCGTGGTTGCCAACAGAAGATTCTAATGTTTATTTGCTCATAAATCCATGGAATTTGAACGATTCCTTCTCGGATGATATATACAATTTTACCCATCAAGATTTGACCTTCAATAGAAATGGCATTTATTACGATAATTGGACAAGGAAATATGTGGCAGCTATAAAACAAACACATTGTGAGGTTAGTTTATTTTTGTAATTTTTGTTTCTGTGACATGATAAATTAAACGCAAAATTAATGGACTGAGCTCTACACCAACATTCCATATTCTCTCATAGACAGTTTTAAAAGAGGACGAACCCTATTGAATTTTGATGATAATCGGATAAAATTTGATATAGCTCCCATATATAATGTTGTCTGATTTCAATTTTATTGTGCGCCATTATGTATATGTTTTATTCGACTTAATGTTTATGTCCTTCGCAATCGTAATATGCACCACTACAATGGTATCAGATATCAGACAGAGATCAGAAATATCTCTGCTAAATTTTATGGAGATCGGTTCAGATTTGGATAAAGCTATCATGTATGTCTTCATTCAATTTCATGGTTATTATGCAATATACAGGATGAGATGAAAAAACCGCAACCAACTTCAGACTGCTGTCATTTCTAAGTCACTCGTCCGACAGCTGTTAAAATTATTCCACTGACAGCACATTATATTGCTCACAAGCGTGCAAAAGCATTTTGATGTAAATTTTCCAGAAAAACAGTTATTCGTGATGGAATTCAAGCGTGATAGTGTGATTTCTTTATATTTGGCTGGAAAACCACATGTGGCTATAGTTAGAGCACTGCAGCATTTAAATGTGAATAAATCTATTGTGTCTCGTACCATCGCTCGTTACTGTGATACTGGTAGCGCATCCCGAAGTCAAGGAAGTGGATGAAAGAATACAGCCACATCATCAGTTCGAAAAGCAAAGAAGCGACTGGATCGAAACCCTCGTCGCAGTGGCCGAAAAATCGCCCATGAACTGAACATATCACAATATTCCATTCGGTAAATGTTGAAAAATGAGCTCGGGGTAAAGCCTTTGAAATTCCAAAAGTGCAAGAGCATTCACGGCACAATAGACTCAAAAGAGCTAAAGAGTTGCTTCGCTTGGCCGAAAGTGGTAAATTGCCGAATTTGGTTTTCTCCGATGAGAAAACATTGGTTGTTCAGCAGTCTGTAAACAAACAAAATGATCACTTGCCAAAGAGGTCAGCTGAAAATGCGCACCTTTCGGTTGGCCACTAGAACTCAAGTGCCGGCCATGAAGATGTTGTGGGCCACCATAACAGCCGATGGTCGCCCTCAGATCGTATTAATCGACCGTGACATCAGAATAAATGCCGAATATTATCACTAAAATATTCTGGAGGGTGTATTAAAGCCTTGGGCACGCACATTTTAGCCGCAGACCTTGAACATTCCAACAGGATTCAGCACCACTACACTCAGCACGCGCCACCCAGGAATGGTTACAAAATGAGGTTCCTCGCTTCATTTCCAGCGCACAATGACCACCAATATCACCGGATAACAACCCGTTGGACTATTGTGTCTGGAGTATTTTGGAAAGCAAGATTGACACTAAAAAATACCAAAGTGTCGATCACCTTAAGCAAGCGCTTCGCCGGGAAAAGGCCAAAATACCGCAGAGCAAGGTTCGGGCAGCGTGTGACGGTTTCAAGGCCCTAATTTTGCAAAAAGTGAACAATTCGAACAAATCTAAACTTGTTCTAAAAATTAATGTTATTTCCGGAATTTTTAGCAATGCTATTTGGTACGCTTCTCCTCCTCGCTTCATTTCCAGCGCACAATGACCACCAAAATCTCCGGATAACAATCCGTTGGACTATTGTGTCTGGAGTATTTTGGAAATCAAGGTTGGCACTAAAAAATACCAAAGTGTCGAATACCTCAAGCAAGCGCTTCGCCAGGAATGGGCCAAAATACCGCAGAGCAACATTCGGGCAGCGTGTGACGGTTTCATTGGCAATTTGAAGGCCATAATTCGTGCCAAAGGTGACTAATTCGAACAAATCGAAACTTTTTCTAAAATTTGATGCTATTTCCGGCATTTTTTGCTTTCATTCAATAAAACCAAAATTAAATTGGGCAAAATTATGGCGTTTGACTTTGTTGCAGTTTTTTTATATCATCCTGTATATCCGATACCCTCGTTTTAAAGCCGGAAATGACCTATTAGTGTTTGATTTCGCCAGGATTTAAAATATTCGCAGTTTCATGGAAATTTTCGCATTTCTTTACATAAAAATTATTGTCCGATGGCCAAACAAAATGTTAGGATACTACTGCCCAGCTCTAAAATCTAGTCCTATGCTAAAATCCGTCTTTAATTAATCGGTAGGGTAGCTACAAAATAGGCAATTTTTCTGCTTTTGATCCATTTCAACCTCAAAATAGTCGCAAATTTATCTCCAAAAAAACAATAGAATTCTATTACGAAGTATTGGCCTTGATTGCAACCTGAGCTTGATTACAATTTAACATGGACAAACGGACATACATAGCTAGAACAACTCAACTCTGCGAGATATTAAGATCTATATATAGTTTCTTGCGTAGCGGACCATTATATCGAAGTTTTACATTATTATTGGCTCTATCAAACTTATATACCCTACAACATATAAAAATATCTACCCCTTAAGAATTCAAAACAACTAACTAAAAGCTCTCTTTTGAATTGAAATACCCTAAATACGACGATACTGTAATGCTCAAGTTTAAAATAAACACGGACATGGAATACAAAAGTCAAAATATTTGAAATCGTTGGGAACAATTGCATGGGGGACAACCAAAACATTGATCCTTTGTTTTGGTGAAAAATGTGTACCGCTGATGTTCATATTTTGAATCTAATTTTGCCAGTGCCCTTTTTATATTAATTACCCAAGTTTATCTTGTTATCGTCTACACATAATATTACCTTATATAATTTTTTCAGGGTTTTGTGGCTTTTCAGGATGACATCCCTAAATTTGCCGAGACGTATAGAAAGGCCAGCGTTTACTCTATTTGGAGATCAATAAAGGCAAAATTTCTATTTGCTTATACAAAAGAGGGCCAGAGAAAGAATTATTTCCAAGATTTGCTATTTAAAAGTAAGTTCCTCAAGAAATCAAATTATTAAAATTTCTTAAATCACAGACTGACAATTTTTATAGACGCTGCTAATATTTTAGCTATTGAGACGGAATATAAAAATTCCAGCCGATTTAATATAAAAACAAATAAATTTGTTGGTTCCATTTTTGAAAATCCCCAAGAGTTACAACAAATCACAACATTTGATGCCCTAACCAAACGATTTGAGCCGAATGTGGATTTATTTTCGAAAAATAAATTACAAAACTTGCATGGACGTGAAATTATTGTTGGCGCTTTTGATTATCGTCCATTTATGGTGGTTGATTTTCAGCGTTCACCCGAATACTATGACCATGCTGCCGACAATCCAAAGCACCGGGCCCATGTCGATGGCACTGAGATGCATATTGTTCATACATTTTGTGAAATCTATAACTGTAGTGTCCATGTGGATACAAGTAAGTTAAAGAAAATCCACCATTCCAAACTTAGGAATTCTCTTTTTTTTTCGTTTCAAGGCGAGAAGGAGGAATGGGGCATGGTATTCCCCAACTATACAGCCAATGGATTGATGGGAATGATTATTGATGGAAAAACTCACATGGGAATGGGTGCCATGTATTTGTGGTAAGTTAAGAGTCCTCAATAATGTGTAAAGCTCTAAAACATGCATTAAAATAATGGCGTTTGGAAATCGAATATTTACCGGATATCTGGGGGAGGTTTCGAATAATTTTGGATAAATTAAAGAAAAAAAGTTAAATCTGAATACCCTCCACCATTTGGTAATTTTCGCAATTTTCAAAAAAATAAAATTACTTAAAAATTTTGTTAAAATCTTAAAAATACCGAATGTAGCCGTATATTTGGGTCAGTACGACCAAGTAGACCTGCATAGGCAACTTTTGTCAAAAGCTATTGCAATATTCAAATGAGAAACATGAAAAAAATGTGTTTATAATGTAGCTAAAATCATCAAAATACCGAATATAGGGAGGTACCATGGGAGTTATAAAACGTGGACCTGCAAATACAATTTTACGAACTTCAAATACAAAATTTGAAATAATTCCGGTAAAAAATGTCGCTAAAATCATCAAAATATCGAATGTCAGGATGTACCGTTATATGGGGGCTATACGAAGGCGTGGACCTACATGGGCCATTTTTCATACCAAAAGTCCTGCAGACATAATACACATTTGAATGGTTGCAAAATGCGGTCCCTCGCTTCATTTCCGGATACCTAGGTTGGCATTAAAAATTACCAAAGTGTTTATCACCTCAAGCAAGCGCATCGCCGGGAATGGGCCTAAATACCGCAAAGCAACATTCGGGCATCGTGTGATGGTCTCATTGGCCGTTTGAAGGTCATAATTCGTGACAAAGTTGACCAAATTGAAGAAATCTAAACTCATTCTAAAAATTGATGTTATGCTTTGCTTTCATTCAATAAATTAATTTTTTTTTATGAACAAGAGATCTGATCTTCTTCACTTTTTAACATTATGAATAATTATGACCCTACTACATGCGAAGTAAATCCACGATCTTTTTTTCAAAAATCACGTATTTGAGATATGTTTATATATATATATATATATATATATATTCTCATTTGAATATTGCAATAGCTTTTGACAAAAGTTGCCTATGCAGGTCTACTTGGTCGTACTGACCCAAATATACGGCTACATTCGGTATTTTTAAGATTTTAACAAAATTTTTAAGTAATTTTATTTTTTGAAAATTGCGAAAATTACCAAATGGTGGAGGGTATTCAGATTTAACTTTTTTTCTTTAATTTATCCAAAATTATTCGAAACCTCCCCCAGATATCCGGTAAATATTCGATTTCCAAACGCCATTATTATAATATAATATATATATATATACATATATATATATATATATATATATATATATATATATATATATATATATATATATATATATATATATTTATATATATATATATATTTATATATTTATATATATATATATATGGGTATGGGTAAAGTCATCAAAATACCGAATATTGGGGGTACCGATGTATGAGGGATATACGATATCGTGGTCCTATATATATATATATATACATATATATATATATATATATATATATATATATATATATATATATATATATATATATATATATATATATATATATATATATATATATATAAATAAAGGTACCTCCTGATTTTACCATATTTCAAAGGATTTGGCTAGAAATCTGTAATTGGGGGGTAAAATCTTACACAAAAATTTCAACATATATAGAAATTTTTGAAGTTTCTTATGAGGACTCTAATGCACAATCTGAGGTTCTAATGGGTTTAAAAAAGTAATTTACCTTGGCTATTCTTAAATCATTCAGCCCTCAATTATGAGGTGTACAAACTACAGTTTATTCTAAATTACTGCTCATTTGACTAATTAATTAAACACTTAACACTTATAACAGTCATATCTGTGAATAATTCCGGGTCAGCTAGTATTTTAATAAACGAATAAAGGCTGAGAAACCAGCTAAAACTCTTTAACTTGTTTTTTATACCTTCCACCATACATAGTATGGAGGGTATATTAAGTTCGTCATTCCGTTTGTAACTCATCGAAATAATCATTTTAGACCCAACAAAGTATATATATTCTTGATCAGCGTAAAATTCTAAGACGATTTAGCCCAGTCCGTCTGTTGTAATCACGCTACAGTCTAAATGAATTAAGATAGGAAGCTAAAATATTGCACAGATCTCTCTTTGCAGGCAGGCCAAGTTCGAAGGTGGGCTATATCGGTCCACGATATCGTATAGCCCCCATATAACGGTATCCCCCGATAATCGGTATTTTGATGATTTTACCCATATTTTCAACGGAATTGTCTGAAAATCCACACAAGGAGTTCCTTGCGGGTACTTTATACCTTGGCAGAGAATTATCTACATAGATCCACGATATCGTATATCACCCATATAACGGTACCCCCCGATATTCGGTATTTTGATGATTTTACCCACATCCTTCAACGGAATTGTTTGAAAATCCACACAAGTTGTTCCTTGTGGGTAGTTTATACCTTGGCAGAGAATTCTCTATATAGGTTAACGATATCGTATAGCACTCATATAACGGTACCCCCGATATTCGGTATTTTGATGATTTTAATGACATTTTCCAATCGTATTGTCTGAAAATCCACGCAAGGTGTTCTTTGTGAGCACTTTACACCCTGGAAGGGAATTGTCAATATAGGTCCTCAATATCGTATATCCCCATATAACGGTATCCCCCGATATTCGGTATTTTTATGATTTTAGCCACTTCATCCAATGAAATTATCTGAAAATCCGCACAAGGAGTTCCTTGTGAATACTTTACACGCAGACATAGATTTGTCTTTATAGGTTCACAATATCGTATATCCCCCATATATCGGCATCTTCCTATATTAGATATTTTTAAAATTTTTAATAGATTTTTAATGGATTTTATTATTTTGAAAATTTTCTAGTTCATTTCAAATGGTGGAGGGTATTCAAAGTTCGACCCGGCCGAACTTACTGTTTTTTTATTTGTTTTTTGTTTTAACTTCTACTCCAGCAGCATTGCCCGACTACGACTTGGCAAACCTGATTTCAACCATCCTATTTTATCCTTCCCTAACTTCCCTCTTTAATAAATTCGATTCATTTTTTTTCTTGCAGGGACCTCGCCTATAAATCCATAGATCAAACAATTTTCTTGGGAAGATCCGGTGTAACTTGCCTAGTTCCTGCGCCAACACGCATTACCAGTTGGAGTCTACCAATTTCTCCTTTTCAATTAACACTCTGGTTGGGTGTGTTCTTGTGCCTGTTTTGGGAAACCGTTGCGTTATTTTTAACCAGATATTTCGAAAATCAGGTGGTGGAGCAACGAGAAAATTCCACCATATGGTCAAGCTTACAATTTGGATATGTAACTACATTGAAGCTATTTGTGTCGCAGGGTTCAGACTATGTGGTAACTTCGCATACGGTAAGAACCATTTTGTTTGCCTGCTACATGATTGACATCATTGTGACGAGTATTTATGCGGGTGGATTATCGGCCATATTGACATTACCGGCGTAAGTTAAGGATATCGATATATATTATTTTGCAAAATTCAATTCAAATTTTCTTGCAGACTTGAAGAGGTAGCCGATTCGGTGGAACGTTTATATCGTCACAATCTAACTTGGACAGCTACTTCGTACGATTGGATTGTCTCAATAACGGACAAAGAACAAGAAGAAACCGATGTAAATGAGAAGATTGATATTTTTGAACAAATAATATTTTCAATACGAAATTTCCTTTCAGCCAATTTATCGCCGTCTACTGGACAACTATCGTGTCAATAGCATGGATGATATGCGCAGAAAAGCTAAAACCGAAAATATGGGTTTCGTTTTGGAGCGCATGGCATTTGGTCATTTTGGCAATGGTGACTTTATAACCCCAGAGGCTTTGGCCCGCCTCAAACTCATGGTGGATGATATTTACTATCAATTCACTGTGGCCATGGTGCCGCGTATGTGGGCCCATTTACCAAAGTTTAATAATTTAATATTAGCCTGGCATTCATCGGGTCTTTCACAATATTGGGAATGGAAAATCTCCGCCGACTATATGAATGTCAATGAACAGAATCAAGTGCAGGCTTCGATGTACACTCAACAGGACACGGGTCCTGTAAAATTGGATATGAAAAATTTTGCCGGTTTAATTTTGCCATGGTTTATTGGCATTATTTTGAGTATTTTAGCTTTTATTGGCGAATGGATTTACTACTGGTGGGATAAGAAGATGGGTACTAAGGTTATAAAGCTGCGTGATTAAGAAAATATATGTGCATTTATTTTTAATTAAAAATATGACAAATACAAATAAAGTTTGTGAAACAAAGAAAACATACAAAACTTTGTGTTAAGCAACTCTAGTGTTAAATGCTTTACAAATATGTCCGATTTTCTTTAAAACATTTCAATGGAGTTCCTTGTGCGACTTCAGAATAGATTATACTAGCTGGCCCGGTTCGCGGTGCAGACCCGTACTTTTAGTCTTTAATGCATATTTTTTAAAGCATAATAAATCACAGATATTACTTATGTAAGCGGCACAATTTTTATTATAAGTAATGACTCAATTGTAATTTTTAAATAGAAATAAATATTGAATAGTCTGATCTTAATTTTCAGCCTTAGAGCTTAGCAATATTTTCCATTAAAATTTGCTGTAATTTTCGAATTTGGAATTAACCAAATGTTCGGTCCCGTGCTACTTTCGAATATTTGTAATTTTTTTCATGTTTCAACCACAATTTCCGACAGTTTGACATTTCGAAGTTTGTATATATAGACCTACATCCCAAATCTACTCTTGGGAGTTAAATATTTAATAGTATACAAAATGTTCTTTTCTGACCACAAATTAGTTGGAAAAGTGGACTTGAGAATACACTAATGTGGGGACTACACCAAAATAAATGCCTATGTGGACAATTATCTGTAAGATGGTTCTCTACCCCAGAGCAGCATAATTACAATTTTTTAGCCAAATGAATTGATGAATGTGGTCAAGAGAGAATGTGGTCATGAGAAGAGGTTTTCTACCCCCTTGTGTCCATTGGAGTTGTAAATTGAAATTTGTTCTAGGTTTTTAAAATTATAATTCCTTTTGCAACTCCTCGAAATAAGCATTTTAGACCCTACAAGTATATATCTTGTGGATCAGCATAACATTATATGTCGATTTAGCTATGCCTGTTTGTATGTAAGTGTGTGGAAATTCGAGCGAACTGAAGTAAGGTGATTAAATTTTGATCAGATGTATTTAATATCCATAGAATTTGTGGTATTGAAAATGGGTCATGGCGGTTTTATTTTTATACCCTCCACCATAGTATGGAGGATATATTAAGTTTCTCATTTCGTTTGTTACACATCGAAATATACATTTTAGACCGCACAAAGTATATACAGATATATTCTTGATCAGCCTAAAATTCTATGTCAATTTAGCGATGTCCGTCAGTCTGTAAAAATCACTTTAGCTTCCGAAAGAAATGAAGTAGATTGATAAAATTTTACTCAAAATTATACTATGTCTGCAGAGCTTTTGGTATAAATGAACCATGTACCTCCATAGTTTAGGTACTTTGGTGATTTAAGCGACATTATTCACCGCAAATGTTTCAAATTTGGTATTTGAAGTTCGTAATGGATAGTACAGCCTAAGACAGAAAACTATCTGCATTAGTCTACGTCTTCTTATATCCCCCATATAACGGGACCTCCCGATGTTCGGTATTTTGATGATTTTAGCGACATTATTCACCGGAATTGTTTCAAATTGGGTATTTGAAGTTCGTAAGAGATACTACAGCCTATGACAGAAAATTGTCTGTGCAGGTCCACGTCTTCGTATAGGCCCCATATAACGGTACCTCCCGATATATGGTATTTTGATGATTTTACCTACATTTTCAACATTTCGCATTAGAATATTGTAATTTCTTATGACAAAAGTTGTCTGTATATGTCCACGTCGTTATATGGACCCTAATATAATGACTACATTCGGTATTTTTAAGATTCTAATAGAATTTTTAAAGGATTTTATTTTTTTGAATATTACCAAATGTGTTCCCAATGGGGAAGGGTATTCAAAGTTCGGCCCGACCGAACTTACGGGAGCTCTGCGTATTAGGCATAGTGGTGTATCGTATCGTATAGTCGGCCCGCCCGACTTGCTGATTTTTTCATAATAAATGTTGAAAAGCTCTATCATTTTTCGTATTTTATTTCAAGTTTATTGTGCCCCAAAGGAGTAATATATGCCCATATTAGTGAGTTTAAGCGCATACGACCCAATTTAGGCCATTAGTAATAGTGTTCGTTTTAGTGAAAATCGGTTTATATATAGATATAGCTCACATATATATGTTTCTTCCGATTTCATATTTAAGTCCCGCTCATCCATAACAATGATGATCCTTAATATATTTAATATAAGATATCAGATGGAGCTCAGAAGTACATCTGCTACATATGTAGCATATATGTTTTTACCCGAATTGAAGTTTGTTGTGCTCCAAATGTGAAATATCAGCTCAATATGGATGAATTTTTGTACATACGGCCAAACTGAACGTAGAAGCAAGCACATAAAATTGGAAAATCAGTTCGGATAGCTCCGATATACCATAGCCGAGTTTAATAAAGGTCATCTCAAAGTCACTTTATACACATAAATCATAAATTTACATCAAATTTGGTCCTAAAAAGGGTATAAAAAATCAACCTGCAACTGATATGACAGTTTAATCCTTTCCAAATTTGCGAAAATCGGTAAAGATTCGTATACAGATATATTTTAAGCATTGGTAGCTATTTTTAAATCTCTACCAATTTTATGGGGGTTTTCGGAAGCACGCATACAAATCGCTATAGAAATAAAAAACAATCCGATGTAAGTATACCGCTTAAAATATTTTTGTTTTGTTTCTGCGCAGACCAATTCATAATATGCAGTAAACATAGTAACCCATCCTACTCGGTATCTTAAATATTATGAGTCTATTTTTACGAAAAGCCTTTTCAACATTTCCTTCCATATAATTGTCTCACTTTCTTATAAAATTCTTCAAGAGGAAAATATAAAATCTTTTCAATTAACTTGTATTTTGAACACAAAAATAAAAACTCTTTGACTAAGAATTATCACATGCGAACAATTTTACAAAGTTAATTGTTTACTGAAACAAAGCAATTATTATTAATTAGCAATGGATTAAGCTTCTTAACATCTGAAAAGAAAGGATGTGGAAAAGTACAACTAAATAAAAAAATCAAAAAATCAGTGGATAATACGCTTTTGTCGTTGAAGCACTTGGTACATCGCAGGCAATAGAAGGGAAGAAGGTTTTATTATTTTCAGCTAAGAGGAGGCAATTTGGCACCCACTCTTATACCACTCTTTGCCACCGTCTTTTTAAGAGCCCGATAAAAAGAATGAAAATCAAATATGCAAGAACAGCATAGCCATGCTTATGAGGGGATTTCTCGTACTCCCCACTATGGACAGGGATTTTTTATTGATTTGATTTATAAACACCCGACTACACATTATCTTAGAGTCTTGTATAAAGTAAATATTTCCGCATTTATCTTTAGCATTTTTATAGCAATCAAAGTCAAACGCCATAATTTTTACATTTTTTTAATTTTATTGAGTGAAAGCAAAAAAACAATAGCATTAAATTTTAGAATAATTTTAGATTTGTTCGAATTGGTCACCTTTGGCACGATTTATGGCCTTAAAACGGAAAATGAAACCGTCACACGATGCCCGAATCTTGCTCTGCGGTATTTTTGCCTATTCCAGGCGAAGCGCTTGCTTGAGATGATCGACACTTTGGTATTTTTTAGTGTCAACCTTTCTTTTCAAAATACTCTAGACACAATAGTTCAACGGATTGGTATCCGGAGATTTTGGTGGCAATTGTGCGCTGGAAATTAAGTGAGGAACCTCATTTTATAATATTCGGCATTTATTCAGACGCCACGATCGATTAATACGAGTGGAGAGCTACCATCGGCTGTTATGGCGGCCCACGCCATCATCATGGCCGGCGCTTGAGTTCTGGTGGCCAACCGAAGATGCATATTTTCAGCTGGCAAGTAAACACAATAATTTTGTTCGTTTACAAACTGCTGGACAACGAATATTTTTTCATCGGAGAAAATTTGGCAGTTCACCACTTTCGTCCAAGCGAAGCAACTCTTTAGCTCTTTCGAGTCTATTTTCTTTCCGTTGCGGTGTAAGTCCTTGCAATGGCTTTACCCCGAGCCCATTTTTCAATATTTGCCGAATGGAATATTGCGATATGTTCAACTCATCAAGTCGCTTCTTTACTTTTCGAGATTTTGATGTTGCTGTATTCTTCCGCCCACTTCCTTGACGTCGGGCTACGCTACCAGTATCACGGTAACGAGCGATGATACGAGACAAAAAAGATTTATTCACATTTAAATGCTGGAGTGCTCTAACGATAGTCAGTTGTGGTCTTCCAACCAAATATAAGGAAATCACACCATCGCGCTTGAATTCCATCAAAAATAACATTTTTGTTGGAAAATTCTCACTTAAATTCTTTTGTACACTTGTAAACAATATAATGAGCTGCCACGGGAATAATTTCAACAGCGTTCGGACGAGTGGCTTTGAAATGTCAACAGCATGATATTGGTTGCTCTTTCTTCATGTCACCTTGTACTTATACATATTTTAGGGTCTTCAGAGAATGTTTCAAGGATTTTGTTTACGGAATGACAAACTTAAAATATCCTCCATTTTATTGTGAAGGGCTTGGAAAATGATTTCTATTAAGTATAGGTAGGTCTACAGTTGTCCACCTGAATTGGCCCTCTTTTCAAATCAAATCTTAGCTATGTTGCTGTTTGTGACCATGACAAGGTGGTTGTATATAACAACAATAACTACACTTAATTTGTATTGAATAAATTGCCAGTCAAGCAATTATTTTTCACGATTTCAACTTTGATCACAGAGAAATAAGATTTAATTTATAAGTTTTCATATGACTTGTTTTTTGTGATCAATTTGGTATGGCATTTCATTTTTGTCGTTGCTCAGGGTTATACAGTGGAACCATGCGTTAAAAATACCCTATCAATCATCATCAAAAAATCACATCTATTTGGGATATTTTCTTCAAAGAAAGGCGGGCTTATTAGAATTTATTATATGGTGTGTGTGTGTGTTTAGAAGCAGAGCATTTGTTCCAAGTATCACTGTATTTGGTCTCATTTATTTGTTGGGTCCAACTTTTACTTAGTTGAATTGTTTGTCTTCCATCTTTTTCCTGTGTAATTTTTTGTTGGTATTTTTTTTTAACCAGATCCCTGTTG